ACAACGCCCGGCTATTTTTTTTGGTTGCAGCCATCATTGTTGTTTGGCGGGTCCAGGCTGGGGATTCGAACCCGCCACCTTAGGTGTACGTGGCTGGCACCTTAGCTGGTTGAGCTATAGGCGCCGAGCCAATTTTATTTTACCAGTGGACCTATTAGAAGTGAATAAAATTGTTAAGAGGGGGGCAAAAAAGAAAAGAAAGAAAGACCATGAAAATAAACATAATAGAAATCAAACAGAATGGACTGAAATCTGAATAAAAATTATAGGCCCAGGTGGGTTGCCCAGAAAGGAAATGCCCATATCAGCTTTACCATCAACATATTCTTCTTAGGAAAGTATCTCAAGAATGGAAGAAAAAGTATCCGATGTACTCAGCCCTACTATGAAATCAATTTATAGCTTTCTTATGAAAGCTATAACCCAATTATAACCCAAGAACAAGGGGAAAGGGGAGAGGGAGAGGAAGGGAGTGGAGATAATGGGTGGAGGGAGGGTAACTGATGGGACCACACCTGTGGTGCATCTTACAAGGGTACATGCGAAATTTACTAAGTGTAGAATATAAATGTCTTAACACAATAACTAAGAAAATGCCGTGAAGGCTATGTTAACCAATTTGATGAAAATATTTCAAATTGTATATAAAACTAGCACATTGCACCCCATGATTGCATTAATGTACATAGCTATGATTTAATTTAAAAAAGAAAGAAGAAGAAGAAAGGAAGGAAGGAAGGAAGGAAGGAAGGAAGGAAGGAAGGAAGGAAGGAAGGAAGGAAAGAAACTAATCTTTAAGGGCCAGGTGAGGTGGCTTATGCCTATAATTCTAGCACTCTGGGAGGCCAAGACAGGGGGATGGCCTGAGCTCATAGGTTTGAGACCAGCCTGAGCCAGAGTGAGACTTCTGTCTCTAAATATAGCCAGGCATTGTGGCAGGCGCCTGTAGTCCCAGGTACTTGGGAAGATTGAGATTTAATAGAACCACAACCCCCCCCACCAGATATGGACTTCAAGAACCCCAGATAGTAGAATTATCATAACCAGAATATTATACACACATGCATATCTTTTACATGTGCACACATGCATATGAATAAATACATATATATGGTTATATATAATATATATATGTATACAGTCCGGCATCACATAACAATATTTCAGTCAATGCCATACTATATGTATGATGGTGGTCCCATTAGATTGTAATGGAGCTGAAAACTTCCTATAACCCAGTGGCAGTATAGCCATCATAATGTCTTAGTGCAATGCATTACTCAGAAGTTTGTGGTGACGCTGGTATAGAAAAACCCACCACGCAACTGGTCTTCTGTTATGTGCAGTACATAATACTTGATAATGATGACAAATGACTATGTTATTGCTTTGTGTATTTATTATACCATACCTTTATTGCTATCTTAGAGTGTAATCCTAATTATAAAATATATACATATATATTAACTTTAAAACAGCCTCAGCCAGGTCTTTGACTTTTCCAAAAGCAGATATTGTTATCACAGGAGAAGACATCTCCATGTTTGTTACTGCCCATGAAGGCCTTCCACAGGGACGAG